ATTGGTGTTGTTGGCAGCGGGAGGGGCAGGGGGCAGTGGCAAACGCCAACCAAGGGTCGGTGACCACCCGCAGCCGCTGCCACCAGCGTCGACCGAGGCCAATGGGAACTGTGGACCGCCTGCAGATGCCACCGGCAGTGTCAGCAGCAGGGTGACGAGTGGCAAGCACCCACAGGCGCCACTGACAGTGTCAACGGTGCCTTTTTACAGGGGGTGCACCGTCATGCTCAGGGGGTGCATGTGCACCCACATGCACCCCCTATGCGTCACCCCTGCTGAGACCTGGCAAAATTGGGAGTGCAATTTTACTGGTTGCTTCTGGCAGGTGCCTAGCTCTGGCTGTGAAAATGGGACCTATTAAGAAATATAGGGCAGGGACCTGACACCCACATTAGCCACCCGAACCTGAATTTGGGGTGTTGCCATTTCAACGTTCTGCTGAGCACCCACATTGTTTTACTGCTCAGGGCATCTCATTTAAAAGGTGGGGGTTGTAGACCTGGGGAAATTGGTAAGGTGACTTTACTGAATGTTACTCTGCTCCTGTGCTCATGGATGCCTATCATAGTTCAACCACCCCGATCTTCAACCCCACAACACACCCTAGCTGTCAGTACAGTGAAATTGGAGACAACTAACATAAAATGGTTTGCTTGAAATATGTATTTAAAGAACTAAGAAAACGAGGTTAGCAGAAGGTTGATCCATGGCAGGCTCTGCAGCTACATCTGGTGTGCTAAAACATTCATTACACACAAATACCTGCAAATTACACTGCAAATGTATCTACCTGCAAATTGTAGCGACACCTGGTGGGCAAGGGGTCTCACCACACAAAACCTGTAGCAACACCCAGTGGATGAAGAGGTTCAGTACACATAATTCAGTGAATTTCCATGTATACATGACAGATTTTTGGCTGTATTGGTGCAATTTGTGTTGTGTCAAACTAAACTACATTGGGATGTGGTTTAGTTTGTTATGATGAGGAATACTTTGGGGCACCCAAACCTCGCATACATGTAAAGTGCAACACCATTAAACTACACAAAGGGAGATTTTCATCACATTTATATGGCAACATTGTCACATGTACAAGCACCCTTGGTTACAAGGAAGTTGGTATAAAGACAGAAGCACATGAAAGTGTTGCTTGTTGGCTGCAATTTAAAGTTAGGGTTTTTTTTCTCATTTGTGCATGCCTGTTTTTACTGAAACTGATAATCACAACATGGTATCAAAATTGGTGAAGGAAAAGGAACTTGCCAGAATTTGAGATTCAAACTATAGAAGTTGGACATTTGTGAGCACATGGAAAGACAGAGACCCTTGTGAATGTTCTGGCTGCTCACCACAGTTTGAGGAGGACACCCTGCTAGTAACCTCACCTCTGTAGATCAAGAGTCAGCCACCTATGGTCCACGGGCCAAATCTGGCCTCCAAAGAGCTTGTATCCAACCCGCAAAAGTCTATTTCAGGCAAGGGGGCAGGGCATTTAAAGAAGCTGCATTAAAGCAGCCAGTCAAAGCCTTTTGCTCAGTTTAAAAGAGTGAGGAAGTTGGGAATTAGGAGATGGTCCCTCTAGTTGGGGGGGAAAGGTTATCTGTTCACTGCTGCACAATTAAAGTTTGATGTTATTTCTTTCTCACCGTGTTTTTATTAAACCTGATGATTGCTACAATCATAATTGTTGCCTGCAGGTTGACAGTGGACTGTGAGAGTTCATAAGAGAGGCCACACAATGCATTTTAAAAAAGATCTTATGATTTGAAGCATCTAACTTCAATTTTTTTAAATTTAGAATTACCAGTACTGAGCTTGTCTCCTCTGAGCATTAGTATAATAGACACATTTACAAACTGAGCAGACAGAGACTACATAGATCTGGAAAGAGGAAGATAGATGGCAGGGGGAAAGGAAAATAAAATGATAATGGGCAATGGGAAAGCACACAAAAGGAAAAACAGTTGAGTGAATGGTTGGGAAAAACAATCAAATTAAAATGCAGGGTCTTTTAAGAAAAAAATTAAAAAGACATCCTGAAGTGAAAAGAGGTGCCAGTAGAATAGTGGTTGAGAAAAGCAATAGAATGCATTAATTATTAAACCATAATTAGACTAATAGATAATGGCAGAAGACTATATCAGCTCTGACATGCAGTGCAAAAGTGAGAGTGTGAAAATGGAGTAAATTAATGTTTAAAAAAGAGTAAGAAAGTGCTGTAAAATAAAATAGTGGCTGCAGTTTGAACCCTCATTGACCCAAGCAGTGCTCAGATGTGACATGAGGAAAAAGGAGAACAGATCCCATGTGCTGAGACACCAGCTCTTCATGAGAGTTGTTTCAAGACCCATCTCCACAAGCAAACTTGACAGGTGATTAGTTATCAGGTGATGACATGGTGGTAAAAAAGATATGCATCCTGTTTACATTTCAGTTTATGATGTTGCTACCACCAGCAGAGTTATGGCTATGGAGTTTGTTAGAATAGCCAAAGCCTTAGGGGATTCTATATTTGACAGTTGTACCAACATCATTTGCAGCAACACGTGGAGTGCCATAGGGTAGTCATGCTGTTTTGTTTTGGGTACTGAGAACAGACTGTGTCCACCCTTGGTACACCCATTAAGTGCTTTTAGTCCTGCGTTGTGTTGAACATGCCCTAGTGCCTCGCATGGCTTTCTGAAGCAAATGCAGCATCTGTATAGTTCAAAATGGCTCTTGGCAGCTCCTCACAGATCTGGTTGTGTTCAGTTGCTTGCTTTGGACAATTCTTCCTGTGCAAAGTCCTTGTGTGAGCCAGGAGGCAGCAAGCCTGTCCCCTCTCACAGCAGTGATGATGAGGAAGGCGAGCCCTTTGTACTTGCTATGAGCCTAACCCCCCTGAGTGGTGCTGGTGTTAGTGCTACCTGTGAGCACTAGTACTGGGAAGAGCAAGGTGTCTGGCTTTTATTCCTATCTTTGGCTTCTTTGTTTGACATATGTTGTTGATGTTGGTGCTCAGCTGGATTTTGCTTTTTTTTTTAGAAGCCAAAGATGGGAGCGGTGCAGACTGAGGGGGAATATTCTTCTGAGCCACTGAGTTTCTGATCCTCATGCCACCTTGCACCCCTTGCTTAATGCCCTCACTGTGGGGGAGGATGTGGTGAGCAGTAGGTTTTGAAGTACCAAGGAATAGATTTATCTGAGGGGTGTCACAAGATGAGCAAGAATAGTTTTCTCTGTGTATCCAGTAACTAATGCCCCCCCATCCTTGTCTTTTTCTTGACATCTTTCAGCAGCCACAAGATACAGCGAAGACACTGCCCCCGGCCCTGACAAACCTGAGCAAGACAGGTTCTTGTCATGTGTGTAAAACCATCGCTCTTTGTTTGTGAAGAGACTCCCGAGGGGCTAAAATCATAACCAGTAACTTTTATAAAATGTAATGTTTGGGTACTGGCATTTTATGTTGGTCTTTTTGTTGTTGTTTCATGATACCGGTCAATTTTGTGTTATGGAGCTCTGCCTGGAGACCAGCGCAATACCGCTCCTGCTGTTAGGACTTTAGACAGAAGTCTGCCGTGTGTAAAGCCGGTAAACCAGGCAGCGGCAAGAGCAAGAGATTTCTGCAGCTGCTTTTGGGCTTACAAACTCCTCAGCCCTGAGCTGCATCAAAGCTGCCTCCGAAGGGCTGTGAGGTGGCGCCGGCAGAGCTGAGCGCACCGCGGCAGATGCTCTTTGCTTGTCCCCGTCCCCGCTCGTGTCCAAGCGCTACTCGGACCGGTGGAAGGGGACAGGCCCCGCGCCCTCTGCCGTAGCCTCGA